TAGGAGCGCTCGGAGCGCAGCAGAGCCTCGCCGCCGCCGCCGTTCACCTGAAGCTGCAGCCGGCCGCCGCTCAGGCTCAGCAGGTAGTACTCCTCGTTCAGCGGCGAGCTGGTCGGCACCTGGATCAGCCAGGTGGAGGCGTCACCCGCTGTTGTGATAGCCATCTCCGAGCACGACGTCTTCGTGGCTATGATGGCTTTTTGCACGTATCGCCACAAGCCTGCTGTGGACACTGATTCAGCCATACACTTTTCGTCCATGCGGGTTAAGGTGAGCTGGGCCTTCATCGTAAAAATAAAGCAGACAAACATTTAGACGCCCGATAAACGTGAGGTTACGGACAATCAGGCATGATACGACACCCGGACATGAATCAGAACGTTCGCAAACGTTACCATCAACTGAAGGGTATTTCGATACGTTTGAACGCCACCTTCGCACTTGCTACCCATGTAAGGCGTCTGCTAATCGGCTGAAGACAGTCACAGCTTGTGAAGCTTCAAACATGAGCCAATATCTGACCGGCTCAGTTTCACAAGATTAATGCTGCCGAGGCCGGAGCGAAATAATTCACCACGATGTAAAGCAGATCTTTGGAGCCAGATCATAACGCCAAGGTGCAGAGTGCTCGTGTAAAGTTTCAAAGAGTGCAAGTGTTAGGTCAACAATGCGCAAACAAGAAAACACTGCAATAGAAAAGTCACGCCATTCACATTGGCTGTGGCCCACGCAAAGCTGGCTCCATAGAGTTGTACTGGTTAGGATGAGCTGTGATATGCAAACCCGGAAACCACGCATGTCCTGATCAGAACTGTGCTGGATTCCAGTCCGAGGAACAGACGCCGACCCCGGCGCCCGGCTGACCCTGAGCCTCAGACGCCGACCCTGGCACCCGGCTGACCCTGAGCCTCAAACGCCGACCCCGGCGCCCGGCTGACCCTGAGCCTCAGACACCGACCACGGCGCACGGCTGACCCTGAGCCTCAGACACCGACCACGGCGCACGGCTGACCCTGAGCCTCAAACACCGACCCCGGTGCCCGGCTGACCCTGAGCCTCAGACGCCGACCCGGCGCCCGGCTGACCCTGAGCCTCAGACATCGACCCCGGCGCCCGGCTGACCCTGAGCCTCAGACGCCGACTCCGGCGCCCGGCTGACCCTGAGCCCCAGACGCCGACTCCGGCACCCGGCTGACCTGAGCCTCAGACGCCGACCCCGGCGCCCGGCTGACCCTGAGCCTCAGACATCGACCCCGGCACCCGGCTGACCCTGAGCCCCAGACGCCGACTCCGGCACCCGGCTGACCTTGAGCCTCAGACGCCGACCCCGGCGCCCGGCTGACCCTGAGCCTCAGACGCTGACTCCGAGCCTGACTCCGAGCGCCACCATCCAATTATGAGATTCATTGAAAATCAAACACGGTGGCCTTGATTTCGGGATTCCTTCAGCCCAAGCCGATTCCAGGATAAGCTTACGCTGGTGTTCGTTCTGTCGCCAAAAAATTGCGATGCAAGCCGTTCCACAGCTAGAACGCTATGTGTTGGGCATGTGTTATAACACGATAGTGAAGCATCCGGTCTTGCAATTGCTACCCGGATGAAATATGCTGCAATATGACGATTTATTGTCATTTACATGTCTTCTTTTGTAATCTCACGGAAGTTTCTAGTGAAACAAAATAGTCTGAACATCTTGACAGAATACATTTCTTGGATCATGGCTTGAACATGCTTGCGATGTGAACTCTGGCTTCATCATACGATCGTAAATCTTTAGTTCAACGGCCAAATTTTGTTCGCGACAGTTCAACGCCTCCGAATCAGTCCGAACAGTCCGCCTCCTCTCCGATCTCGTTAAGCAAGCAGAGAGCGCCAAAGCGATCCGCACACACCCACGCCGCCACAAGGAGGCTGTGAGGCAACCGATTGAGCTATGCGGATCACGATCGATGTGTATGTCGATATGCTTGGCTCAGTTCCGGCCCCTGTTCATACAAAATATTTCAAGAAATCAATGGGATCTTTACGCAACAAAATCTCACAGATTCCAAGGGTAAACAAGACGTCTGCTTAAGTCCAGCCCAGGTTTGAATCTCGTTTCCAGGACCAGGAGTCACTGAAGACATAACCAAATCACACGAGACCCTACCGCTCGCACCGAAAGGCCCATTTCGGGAGACAGTCAGCACCAGACGTCAAGCGCATACCGCGAAAACGAAAACGAGTCGAAGGCTCAGGACAGAACTGTGTTAGACAATTTCTACCTACAAAGCTAGGGCATGCTCATTCCGTGCACTCGCAAAGCGGCTGTGCAATGTTACGAGGGTCACACAAAAGGGCACACTAAGCATGCGTCACTGCTCTGCGGAGATTCTCCGGGAGACCCAGCATCGCGGAGATTCTCCGGGAGACCCAGCAGAACATCGCCGTCTGGCGTCTCGGGCGTCTTACCAGGCGCCTTCTCCGCGCCCGACTCTTGCCCGGCTCCGTATCCGGAGTCTTCTCCTCCTTCTCCTTCTCCTTCTCCTCCTCCTCCACCTGCACCGCGCATGCGCACAGCCGCTCCGTACTCAGTCGGGTCGAGGGGAGGGGAGAGCGGTCCCCAAACAGAGCCCAACCCATGCAGCGTGGACACAGACCGGGGCCTGTATCACGCACCGCGACGCTCCCGACCATCACCGTAAGCGAGCATGCGGCGAGCCGGGCAGCGCCTGTCCTTTGTCACACAGGCCAGTACATAGGTGCAGCCGAGCGGGATCCGACAGCGTAGCCGTTCGTGGACAACGTGAGCTAGGCCGGGCATCAACAGCGTCAAGAGCGACTGGACGCCACGGTGACGGCACAGGCTACATTCGTTCAGGACGAAGCCCATGGACCGAACAACGACCGATCGGACAGCAAGCGGTACGGCAGGCTTGATGTACACCTTTCGCGGGACTAGGCAGCAGGGACGCAAGCGCCGCCCTTACTCGGCACACGGCATATGAACAGGATAGCTTAAGATGTTTTCATACTCATGGATCGACCCACTAAGACGGTAGGTTGAATGTACGCCAGATAGTGCCCATCTGAATATCTGATGACCTCCAACAGGAGGGTATCATTCACTCGGCCAGGTTCGTCACATACTGAGCAGCCTGAACTCGTTCCTTAGCAGTTGGTGTTGTTTCTGCTGCGGCTACAATACTATTCATGCATTGTGAGGACGGTCCCATTTTAAAAAACGGTCTCAGCTTTCGCTGAGCTTTAAGATGACACACTTGGTACAGCACCGCGGGTAGTGGTTTGCCCACGGCGAAGACCCTGGCAGGTTGGGCCGCCGTCCAGTACTGACCATCGCCGCAAAGGTGGACATCATGAGCAGCCCATCGGAGGTGGTGGTCTTGAAGGTGAAGCCGAAGGTGGCGGTCTTCTTCAGCCGCCGCGAGTCGAGCTCCAGGTAACCCTTGCCGCGGAAGCCGGCGGTCTTCAGCAGCTGTCCGCATGGAGCATGGTTACGACGCCAGTAGCAAATGTCGTCCAGTGACGTGACGTGACGTGTTGCTTATTGGAAGTGTTTCAAAAGTGACAAGTCCCTTAGATAGATGTCGACCTCGCTCCATGACTGCGCATCATTAGCCACGGTTAACATAAATATACGGGCCTGATCACAACGCATCCGTGAAACGACAAGTCCTCTCCTTTACACACAATCTGCCCGTGGTACAAGGCTGCCGGCTTGAGCAGCTGCCCGGTTTGCGGTGGTTCTGCCTCGCCACCGCACGCGCCAGCGGCAGTCTCACCTCGCCACCGCACACGCACGCGGCAGTCTCACCTCGCCACCGCACACGCACGCGGCAGTCTCACCTCGCCACCGCACACACGCGGCAGTCTCACCTCGCCACCGCACGCGCCAGCGGCAGCCTCACCTCGCCACCGCACACGCACGCGGCAGCCTCACCTCGCCACGGTACGCGCCGGCGGCAGTTTCACCCCGTCACCGCACGCGCCAGCGGCAGTCTCACCTCACCGCCGCAGCCGCGCGTCACGCCTGAAGAGTTGCCGACGAGCGCGTTCTGTGCCGTCTGGCCGACCTGCAGGTCGTCCACGCAGCCGAGCAGCGGCACAAACGAGACGCCCGGCCAGCCCGAGCGGTCAAAGTCTGGAGGCACGCCGCCGAAGTAGAGCGGCGAGCCGTCCAGGTCCAGCGCGTACTGGCGCCGCCGCCGGCGGCCGGCCACCTCCGGGCTGAACGAGCTGGCCTGGTACTCCTCGCCGTTGTTGATCTTCAGGCCCACTGTGGCGGTGCGGGACGGTCAGTTAGTGTGGAGTCTGCACGAGCTTGCGGAATACTCCTAGTCGCAAACAGTTGGGCTTGAGCTTAGCGCGTACGCCCAAACATCGATGCTTCAGCATAAAGGTTGGCAAAAGTTTCCGCGGCAGAGTTCCGGCCTATCAAAAGCAGTTTTCGTTGTTTCTTTTAACATAAAATTATATGACAGCTTTATATCAACACATGGCGCTGACCGTCGCCTCCAGATTTGGTGGTCTCGATCCACGTGCGGTTTCCGGTGTTGTATCTGCCATTGGACGTCACGACCAGCACGTCTTTCCTGCTGAACCCGACGCGGGCCACCACCTGGCCGCCCCGCAGCTCAACGCTGAAGAACTGCTCCTGCAACGGCCGTTTACCACATACCTCAAGCAAACACCAGCTGACAGACTTCAATGTTCCAATCAACACAACTGAAGGCTGCATATCATCAAGCGTGATAACCCAGAGCATGCAAAATTCGAGACAAAAAGTCATCAATCGGGCACTATGACAATCGCAACTCAACCCGCCAGCTTAGCAGGCTAAAGTCCAGAAGCCCGCCCGCTACACTCCATGTCCGGTAACCAGCCCACCGGCATCCGCAACCACCCTACCTTCCGCCTGTTGACGGCCAGGAAGAGCAGGGCGTCCTCGTCGAACGTCTTAACGCTGAGCACGACCGAGTAGAGCATGGCCGGCACCTGACCGGGCCGCAGCGGCGGCAGCTCGGCGTACCCGGCGCCGCTGAAGCTGTAGCCAGACGAGGTGGTCGCGTCGTCCGAGCTGAGGGCAGAGTCGACAGTCAGAGGCGACCCAGACCACGCCGGCGTGACCCCACTCCGTGTCAGGTGGGATGGCAGACGGCGCAACCCCCACTCCCTGAGGCGGGGTGGCAGACGGCGCAACCCCCACTCCCTGAGGCGGGGTGGCAGACGGCGCGGTACCCACTCCCTGAGGCGGGGTGGCAGACGGCACGGCGCCCACTATCTGAGGCGGGGTGGCAGACGGCGCGGCACCCACTCCCTGAGGCAGGGTGGCAGATGGCGCGGCACCCACTCCCTGAGGCGTAGTGGCAGATGGCTTGACACCCACTCCCTGAGGCGGGGTGGCAGACGGCACGGCGCCCACTCCCTGAGGCGTAGTGGCAGATGGCTTGACACCCACTCCCTGAGGCGGGGTGGCAGACGGCACGGCGCCCACTCCCTGAGGCGTAGTGGCAGATGGCTTGACACCCACTCCCTGAGGCGGGGTGGCAGACGGCACGGCGCCCACTCCCTGAGGCGGGGTGGCAGACGGCACGGCACCCACTATCTGAGGCGGGGTGGCAGACGGCACGGCGCCCACTCCCTGAGGCGGGGTGGCAGACGGCACGGCACCCACTATCTGAGGCGGGGTGGCAGACGGCACGGCGCCCACTCCCTGAGGCGGGGTGGCAGACGGCACGGCGCCCACTATCTGAGGCGGGGTGGCAGACGGCGCGGCACCCACTCCCTGAGGTAGGGTGGCAGATGGCGCGGCACCCACTCCCTGAGGCGGGGTGGCAGACGGCACGACATCCACTATCTGAGGCGGGGTGGCAGATTCCCCGGCACCGCAGACGGGCCTTTGTGTGTGGCATCTTTCCGGGTCTTGGTGAGTAGCGCTCCGGGTTAGAGCAAATTTGAAGCAAATATAGTGCCACACTGGTTAATAAGGCCAATGGCACAGAGTCAGTGAGTCAGTGCCACGCGGTGTTGTGGCACGTTCTGAGACGCGCCCGGTAAAGATCCCACCGCCACCACCGGTCGTGAATGTTACCACACCCATCCCAATGAACCCATCCTGGTTCCCGGCAATAGGAACGTCCAAATGGGGTTTCATTTCACGGGTTACTGAAGCACAAGCCCATACAACGTGCTACGCGCTATTGAGATGAGACGAACTGACAGACAACTGGGACAGACGGGACCCAGACCCAGACCAACATCCACCAGACAACTGGGACAGCATGGGACCCAGACCCAGACCAACACCCGCCAGACAACTGGGACAGCACGGGACCCAGACCCAGACCAACACCCACCAGACAACTGGGACAGCACGGGACCCAGACCCAGACCAACACCCGCCAGACAACTGGGACAGCACGGGACCCAGACCCAGACCAACACCCACCAGACAACTGGGACAGCACGGGACCCAGACCCAGACCAACACCCACCAGACAACTGGGACAGCACGGGAGCAGATGTGCAGTCTACCGTCGATGGACCACGAGGCTCAACATACATCAATATTGACCAATCTGGATATAAACACGATGCAATTCTGTATCCACGCCCGCCCGCTGCGCACTCACGTCGGACCATGCGGCCTTTACTACCCTTCAAACATCAAACAGGGCGCGCTGGGCTCTGCTAGCCGCCACCCCGGGACAGCCGGCGGACTGTCGGCGGGGCCACTGACCTGGGACCGGCGCGGCAGGCGCCGCAGCCGTGACTCGAGGCGAAGTTCCACAGACCGAGCGGGGCCACTGACCTGGGACCGGCGCGGCAGGCGCCGCAGCCGTGACTCGAGGCGAAGTTCCACAGACCGAGCGGGGCCACTGACCTGGGACCGGCGCGGCAGGCGCCGCAGCCTTGACTCGAGGCGAAGTTCCACAGACCGAGCGGCTTCCCGTTCACCATCGCCTCGTACAGACAGCCGGCGAACCTGCGAGAGGTCGAGGGTCGAGAGCGCGGCCGGGTCACGTGGCGGCGGGGGAGGGAAGGGTTCAAAACACAGACAGCTGGAGAACCTGTGACAGGCCATAGGTTGAGAATGGGGCCGGTCACGTGGCGGCGGGAGAGGGTGGGGAGTCCAACACGTGGCGGGGTGGGTGGTGCCATGGCACTGAGAGCATGGTACGACGCACTCTGGCCGCGGTAAGCATGCGAGGTGCAGCGGGAAACGGGACAGTGTGATGAGCATGACGGGACAGTCCACATGAGCATGACGGGACAGTCCACATGAGCATGACGGGACAGTCCACATGAGCATGACGGGACAGTCCACATGAGCATGACGGGACAGTGTGATGAGCATGACGGGACAGTGTGATGAGCATGACGGGACAGTCCACATGAGCATGACGGGACAGTCCACATGAGCATGACGGGACAGTGTGATGAGCATGATGGGACAGTCCACATGAGCATGACGGGACAGTGTGATGAGCATGACGGGACAGTGTGATGAGCATGACGGGGCAGTTCACATGAGCATGACGACCATCGCATTATGGCGGTGATTAAATATGGACCACTGACTAATCATAGATGATAAATCAATGAACAAAGCCGGGCAATTCAATCATAAAAACACAGCAGCAGGTTAGTGGAAGTGCAAGGTGAGTGGCAACTTCGACAGACAATGCCAGCTATCACGGCGGCTTGTGTGACCGCTCGGATGACACACGACTTTGCTGGCTCCACCGTGATAACCGTCGCCGAATGAGATCGTCGATGACTCCTGCGGTTGAACCCGTGTGCAAATGATTCCTAGACTTGCATTAAAATGGCGCGCGCTGACTGAAGTGAACACGAGATCGTGATTTAACTACGTGAGCATGACTGAGGGTGAGAGGACATGCAAGCATTGGAGTCAAACGGCGGTACAGCTGCGCTGTGACCGTGCCAATCGACGCGGGTTTATCGGCACAGCTCAACAGATCCCAGGGTAGCGCACTCACTTCTTGGTGCGGATGCCGCTGTCGGCGTCCTCGGGCAGGCCGCCCACGTAGACGAGATCGGCCGGCGTCAGGTCCATGATGGAGAAGCCGTCGCCAGTGGTGTTGGCGACTGTGAGCGGGAGGCGGCCGGAGCCGCCCGAGGCCGGCCGCACGGAGAGCCGTCCCAGGCCGCCGATCCTGGCGACAGCGGGCAGCGGGGCTGACGCGGGACAACCCAGAACCGGGCGCGGCCTGTGTGGGGCCGTCGTCACTTTGACGGATAGGAGCCTTGGTTTTGTTGCGTTCCGGTGTTTATTCAGTGCCTTGCACGTTAAAATAGCGCGAAAACACGGATGGCATCTTGGCGGGCAGCTATGCTGAGTGTGCACACACTCAATTCCCAGGGTCCGTGAGTAAGGACCTTTGCCAATGTACCTTTCTGCTTCGATAATGTACCAATGCTGATCATTCATCAGCTGATCATTGTTGGTTTGTAGCCTGCGAGGATGTTCCACCCGCTGGCTCTGATCGCCGTTATTCCACGTGAACCGGATCCTCCTGTTCACCATCTCCACGGCCATGTAGTCCTTCTGGAGGCGTACAGGACAGCCAGGTGAGGAGCAGGCTTCTGATGACGGATTCCCGACGGATTCGACTGGTAAGCCAACAGTGTTCAATCATCAAACATTGAACATCGGGATGCATAATACAGCACCGATGCATTCTTCTGCTGGCAAAGGGGACATCCCGTGAGCCTTGATGTGATATAAAGGCAGTGAACCTGATCACTGCACCCCAAGAACAATAACGGTGTTCTTTTTAACACAACAGCACCGCAATCAGCTCCCTTATTAGCTAAGGAATTTATGCATAAGCCTCATGCTTTAATAGGAAAAACGAAATAATTAGGCTGTAAATTGTGATGATTGTCTTCATGTATGTCCATGCAATCTCACGGGAATAATTTCGATATGATACTCGGCGTAGAAAGAAGGGCCTTTTACGCTATTGTTTTTCCGCATTATGAGCTGTTCTGTTGACAACAATCCGTCCCACATACCCCAGGAGGCACCGACAAAGCGAGCGCATCAAACAGTCCTTACAATACATTACGGGAGCATCCCAAGCCTGAGCCTGGGTCCAGACAGCTGCTTGACCTGAGACTTGGGGGGACCTCGCCCTGACCTGGGTTTCAGAGGGCAGAGGGGACGGGGACCTGCTCTGACCTGGGTCTCGGAGGGCAGGGGGACCCACCCTGATCTGGGTCTCGGAGGGCAGAGGACCTGCCCTGACCTGGGTTTCGGAGGGCAGGTAGATCAGCAGCGCGTCGCGGGTGGCCGGGTCCGAGATGGCGTAGTTGAGCCGGATCGAGGAGGCCGTGCTGGGCTGCAGCTGCGGCGCCCGGTACGTGCGGCTGCACGAGCTCGGCGGCGGCTGATCCGTCAGCGAGACGCGTATCTGACAGCAGGCGGCGGCCGGTCTCGGCGCATTGTCCACAGAGCACAGATTCATGTGGTCCAGGCACTTCATCGGTGACGAAAACGCTGCGACGCGCGGGTCTAGTAGCAAAGAGAGAAACTTCAAAGATCTTCGGACAGTGCTGCTCATGTGAATAAAACCGTGCTTTTGATTAGATTTTGGGAACAGCAACACCATTCGATCAGTCCCGGAGTCGTGCGGCACTCACGTTGGTGGCGGCCTGGCGAGCCTTCAGGATCTTGTTCCGCAGGCTCTCAAGTTTAAGACTGACGGTGTCGTCCAGCACTCTTAGCTCGTCCAGCCTCTCCTCCGCCGCCTGCGCCCGGATGTTGGCCTTCCCGATGTTCCTCCGAGCAGAAGCGACTGTCGGCAAGCAGATCGATCAAACCAATCGGCCAAAATGACTTACAGAGAAGACTGCCTGCTTGATATTCTAAAATTACATAAAAACACAATTTTTGTGGTAAAAGTTTCGTAAATTGTGCCGAAATATACATGGCATGCTGCAGCTGGCGCAAGCACCATACATGAAGCAAACACCTTCACCAGTACCGACCGTCTCAAGGGGCATTTCCCAATGTCTTGCTAAAACTGAACGGTGTTTTCAGGCTATATTTGCTTTCCTTTATGCGTTTTTATCGGCACTTTTTTCCAGTACGCGCCAGTGTTCAAGTTTCTAATCTGTCACTGGATCACTGATTCCAGGTTATCTGATAGTATCCCTATCACGGGCGACACACTGATGTCAATTCGTCTGTCAACCACCCACTGTCACCGCGTCCCTCTCTGACACCAATGAAACGTCACTCCGGCACCAGTGACACGTCATTCTGCTGGCACCATACTCCGACACCAGTGACACGTCACTCTGTCGTCACCATACTGCGATACCGGTGACGCGTCACTCTGCCGTCACCACCGGGCCACTCTGACACCAGTGACGCGTCGCTCTGCCGTCGCCGCCGGGCCACTCACTGATGCCGGTGACGTTGCCGAGTCCGTCGCGTCCGCCGGCGCGCAGGCGCTGCAGGCCCGGCAGCAGGCGCGTCTCGATGCCGCCCTGGACACGCTCTGTGCGGCGCAGCGCGGCCGAGGCCGTGTCCAGAGCCGCCTGGCCCAGGGCGATGGCGCCCCGCGCCGCGCTCGTCAGCTCTGGGCACAGGTGGGGCGGGTCACGGAATATGGCGTACTCTGCGTGCTCCAAGACACGTGCGGAAGAGTCAGCGGCGATGGCTGACAAGCAGCCCTCGTTTCCGCCTGGACACAAGACTTAAACGAAAACTGGACTGATCTGAGCCTGCATACAATAGAGACACGACGCTGACAAGATAGAAAATGAGCATGGTCTGCCGCATGCCGAGACCATGGTCTGCCGCATGCCGAGACCGTGGTCTGCCGTAATACTTAAACGGAATACAGTCTGTGGTGAAAGTGCATTTCTGACGCACAGACTACGAGCAGATCATAGCACACCTGACTATGTAATGGATGGAAGAATAAGGAAAGCCACAGTGGATTAGGTAAGCACCTAAAAAGACTGGCATCTATGCATCATGAATATTGAGCAGTTTCCCTGAGTTCCCGGGTTCATGTTCATTACGGCGGGGAGCGCTGCTCAACGGAGTGGCAGTTTCCCTGAGTTCCCAGGCTCATGTTCGTTACGGCGGGGCGCGCTGCTCACCGGAGTGGCAGTTTCCCTGAGTTCCCAGGCTCATGTTCATTACGGCGGGGCGCGCTGCTCACCGGAGTGGCTGTTCCTGGACAGGAAGTTGCGCACGTCATCGTTGACAGAGCCGGCCGTTCGCAGGGTTCCGTTCACTCTGATCATACCGGCCGCACTCGTCGCCACCTGGTCCGACAGCGCTACCACCTGGCGGCGGCACGGGAAACATCAGTCACAGGAAAAGACAAACATTGGCCATTCGAAATGTGTGTCACTCAACAACATTGGCCTCCGGCTTGGACATCGGGATAGTCTGAATTTCCGAGGGACGGAACTCTCATAATCATCTTACTCCTTAGATTCTACAGACACTGTGTAATAAATATATCTATGAGTCTCATCTGCACATCTAAGCCATACATAGACACACCACTTACCCCAGTTCTGTTATAGTCCCCTGGTCGTCACGAGCTCACCTGGTGCCGCAGGTCGTCGGCTTGCTCAGAGAGCGCTTCGGACATAGTCTTGGCCTGAGTGCCCAGGGACACCAGCGAGTCGGTGTACCTCGGGTACGCCTGAAACATCATACGTCACGACGTCAGAGTCGTTAGACGGTGGCGACATGCTGGAGTCGGACCTCAACCGAATACTGTCAGACAACATGACAACACAACTCAAGCCCTGCCACCTCACGCGGTTCCCACATCACATGTGTACGATAGATAACGACAGGGAAATGTCCGAGGCCACATAATACTGAAGATATCTGAACAAATATCAGTATTTGTATATGTAAAGCAATCACACCTAGCATGAATGAAGCCGAACTACCTAGTACTCGAGGCACACACAGTTTCCGCCCTCGCAGCCCGGGCAGCAAACCTCCCTGTCGACTCGCCCCTCTCTGTTCCGTCCCGAGGGCTCGGTGCGACCATCACCTGTTCGTAAGCGTTCTGCGCAGCCTGGCTGGCGTCTTTTGCCGCCTGGCGAGCCGAGTTCAGCGCGTCCACAATGTTCTGGTACGCCTCGGCCGCCTGCAGAGAGAGGTCGGCCTCCTGGCGGGTGGCCTGGAACAGGCTGGAGGGACAGGCACGCGCCTGAGTTAGACACAGGTGGGCTGGAACGGGCTGGAGAGACAGGCACGCGCCTGAGTTAGACACAGGTGGGCTGGAACAGACTGGAGAGACAGGCACGCGCCTGAGTTAGACACAGGTGGGCTGGAACAGGCTGGAGAGACAGGCACGCGCCTGAGTTAGACACAGGTGGGCTTGAACAGGCTGGAGAGGCAGGTACGCGCCTAAGTTAGACACAGGTGGGCTGGAACAGACTGGAGAGACAGGCACGCGCCTGAGTTAGACACAGGTGGGCTGGAACAGGCTGGAGAGACAGGCACGCGCCTGAGTTAGACACAGGTGGGCTGGAACAGACTGGAGAGACAGGCACGAGCCTGAGTTAGCCACAAGTGGTTTGGAACAGGCTGGAGAACTGTAAGATGACATTTATCTGACGTACAGATGACAGTGAAGCTGAAATGGGCGGCACATTCACTTCCTGGTCGGACAGTCACTGGACGCAGCTTCAATTCGTCAAGGCATGTCGCAAATCATGTAGCAAAGGTATATGTTCTATCCAGCTTATTCATTACCCATAGCTTACGCAGCACACATGTCGCTTAATCACATGTTTACTTCAACCACCCAATGCATATAACCTACACGCTTCAATTAGTCTGTCGAAGTCACGCCTCAGTTCGCTCGTCTTTCTTCGGTCGGCCGGACCGTACGGTGGCCAGCCGGTCGGTCGGACCGTACGGTGACCAGCCGGTCGGCCCCGGAGGCCAGCCTGGCGGCGTGCACCAGGACAGCAACTCTCACCTGACCAGCCGGTCGGCCTCGGAGGCCAGCCTGGCGGCGTGCATCAGGACAGCAGCTCTCACCTGACCAGCCGGTCTGCCTCGGAGGTCAGCCTGGCGGCGTGCACCTGGACAGCAGATCTCACCTGATCAGCCGGTCACATTCGGAGGCCAGCCTGGTGGCGTGCACGAGGACAGTAGCTCTCACCTGACCAGCCGGTCAGCCTCGGAGGTCAGCCTGGCTGCGTGCACCTGGGCCGGGATAACGTGCCGCACCCGGTAGTCGTCCGTCAGCTGGTTGAGGCCGTCCGTGCGCCGCCGTAGCCGCTCCTCCGTCATGTTCAGCTGGAACTGCATGTCTCGCAAGTCCTGCGCCGACCGCCACAGAGTTCGCCGCATTAGACCAAGCCCAGCCTGCCCGTCAGTGCGCTCAGCAGAAATAACAAGCCAACAATGGACCGGATCACCGAAAATGTGATACAAATGTGTGCAGTCGGTCAAACTCGAATCACTTTCCGTCGCAATTAGAGTTTAAGCTGTAAAAGCCATGTTAGGTATCACTCATACCCTGCATTTTAAACAGAACGTATGCATGCGTTGGCAATCACTAGTGCCTCAAGAGGAGCGACTGATTGTTCTGTTGCAACAGCAAAACCTGCAAGAGCATTACGATGACATGCCACAGCCCATAGACGTGCCACTCACAGTCATCTGCACTCGTCCACGACATCCTCCCGAGTCATGAGAGGGCGTCACACTCACGATCAAGCTGCCCTTTCCGTCGTCGTAGAGCCGCCGTGTGCGCCTCTGGATGTCCGACGAGCCGGACAGCCTCTGCTCGCACATGTCGCCGACCTGCTGGATCTGCTGGCGGCTCGACGCCAGTGAGTCCTGTTTCTCCCTCAGGGTCCGGATCAGCACCTCCACCTGTCGGCAGACCCCGGCCCGCGGGACAGTGAAACGGCACTCTCGTCGACGTGACACTTTCAGCGGCGTGAAGAGCTGTGAATAACGGATGGAATCTCGCGGTGCAAAAATGCCGATTTTATCCGCCAGGACTATAGACAACCATGTGAGACTTTCTGTGCAGAGCGCAGTGGTGTTGTCCAGGCTCCATCCGCTCTCACATTGGTTGTAAGCCGATCATCGAAGAAAATCGACGGTAAATCGGCTCGCATCATGCCCTCACGACGTCCGACCCAGCGCCTGGCGGCCCGGGTCTGCGCCTCTCGACGCCTCACCTCGGATACCGGCTGGCTGACGCCGTCGGTGACCAGGAGCGCCGCGTCCAGCAGCCGCTGTCGCAGCCGCTCCAGCCGCTGCCGGCTCTCGGCCAGCACGGGCCCGTCCAGCAGCATGGCCCGCACACGCTCCAGCAGGCGGCGGCTGTCGGCCTGCTCGGCCTCGGCCTCCCGCAGCGCTGGGGTCAGGTCACGGCGCAGCATGCTCGCCAGCAGCGCCTCCGCCTCCGCCAGCGGCTTCTCCACGCCGGCCGACGAGGTCTCGCCGATCGCGTAGTTGAGCAGCTGTGCCACCGTCTCTGCTCAAGCGGGAGAGCGGGGGGGGGGGGGGGGGGTCAAACGCAGCACGCTAGGCAAACGCCCGTTAGCTGCGTTCAAGAGAGGCGGACGCTGTACTCAGGAGAGGCGAACGTTACGCTCAGGAGGGGCGGATGTTACGCTCAGGAGAGGCGGACGCTGCACTCAGGAGACGCGGCCGCTTCGCTCAGGAGAGGCGGTCGCTGCGCTCAGGAGAGGCGGAAGCTGCGCAGAGCGAAGCGCCGGTGGTGTATAATTGTCATGGGCTCTCTGTAAACGCTCTGGTCGGGAAAAAACAAAATACTTGTAGAATGCTCGTTACGATTCACAACATCGCTGATAAGCTTTCCCGCGCCGAAATCTCACAGAAGTATGTAACGCTCGAGACATAACAGTTGTCCGCGCCATAACACGATCGACTGCTACAATCTGGTCAAAATGGGAACAGCGAGGATAACCAACGCCGATTGTGCGACCATTATTTCCCCGTTACGGGAACCTGCAAACAAGTGGATCTATTAGTCGAATGCGATTTAATGCTGTTCTCAGCAGATTGCCATTATGCGTGGGGACTTACCCTCCGCTTCAAACTTGGTGACCAGCGCCGACTGGTAGATGGAGTCGATTTCGTTCCGGATGTCTCTGGCCTCGTTCATTTGGGACGGTAGAACTTGCACGAGATCCTCCACCTACGCGAGAGGTTTTGCTTTCATGCTCAAGAAAGCCAATGCTAGTTAAGTTCGGACTTATGATAATCACTAGGCACCAAGCAAACGTCTTCATTAGTCAATAACTTTCACAGGCAGCGTCACCCAGCTCAGGCTAAGCCATACACGTCTTATTGCGAGTTAAGTTCTGCCTAATGTTGCGTCAACAACATACGCGATTTCAAGGCATGGCGAAGAGTATGCACAAGAAAAGCAGATCAAATCTGATCAATAATTAAAAAATACCGGATGACACACACACACACACACACACACACACACACACACACACACACACGCACGCACGCACGCACGCACGCACGCACGCACGCACGCACGCACGCACGCACGCCCGCACGCACGCACGCACGCACGCACGCACGCACGCACGCACGCACGCGCACGCGAGAGAGAGAGAGAGAGAGAGAGAGAGAGAGAGAGAGAGAGAGAGAGAGAGAGAGAGAGAGAGAGAGAGAGAGAGAGAGAGAGAGAGAGAGAGAGAGAGAGAGAGAGAGAGAGAGAGAGAGAGAGAGAGAGAGAGAGAGAGAGAGAGAGAGAGAGAGAGAGAGAGAGAGAGAGAGAGAGAGAGAGAGAGAGAGAGAGAGAGAGAGAGAGAGAGAGAGAGAGAGAGAGAGAGAGAGAGAGAGAGAGAGAGAGAGAGAGAGAGAGAGAGAGAGAGAGAGAGAGAGAGAGAGAGAGAGAGAGAGAGAGAGAGAGAGGAGAGAGAGAGAGAGAGAGAGAGAGAGAGAGAGAGAAGACAAACGTTAAACGGAGTCTACACACATGTTCGCGGACGTTAAAACGGCCACGGACGTACACATCCGGACAAACAGACATTCAACACTGCACGCCCAAACACCAGCGGCAGCACAGCGGGGCACGCGTACATTGATCAGGATGGTGTTCGCGAACTTGGTGAGGTCCATCGTATCTAAGAGGGCACGCAACGTCAGCTGTCCCTCTGTGTACTGCTCGAGCTCCTCTTGGTGCCGCTCTGTCACGTTGGTGACATTATACAGCTTCCGCCAGGGAGCGCCACCGGCGCCGGTCAGGTTAACAGTGACCACCAGTGCTGCCATCTGGTCGACGTCCTCGAACATCCGTTCCACGCAGCCGTCCTGGCAAGCTGACGGCCAATAGGAGGGCGTGTCACAAGACCCGGCCGCCGCGGTGGCAACAGCCCGGGTAACACGAGCTGGCAGCCAATAGGAGGGCGTGTCACAAGACCCGGCCGCCGCGGTGGCAACAGCCCGGGTAACAGGAGCTTGCAGCCAATAGGAGGGCGTGTCACAAGACCCGGCCGCCGCGGTGGTAACAGCCCGGGTAACACGAGCTGGCAGCCAATAGGAGGGCGCGTCACAAGCCTCGGCCGCCGCGGTGGTAACAGCCCGGGCAGCACAAGCCGACGAGCTAACTTCGACCCAACAGGACAACGGGGGCAACACCATGTCATCTCAGGGCGACATGTGAGGTGAGCACGAGAATATTAACGTGGGGCCCGGGCTAACAACCACCAACAGCCGCCCGGAAGCACGCGTACGGCGATCTCCACGACCCGAGCCGAAGCTCGGCGGCCTCTGACCTTGACAGCCCTGCTCGGTGAGCACGTGTCGCTCAGCGCAGCGTGTGCAGTCCCTGCCGACGACGCCGGGCCGACACTGACAGACGCCAGAGTCGGGGTCGCAGGTGGCGCTGACGCTGCCGGCCGGGTCGCAGCCGCACTGCTGGCAGTCTGCGGAGCGGTCCAGCGCCGAGCCGAAGTACCCGAAGGCGCACCTGGAGGACGCCGGGAGAGGCTCAGCCCAGCACTGACCGGCGACAGACAGCTGGACAGGGCGGCGGGCAGATGAACAGGGCGGCGGACAATTGGACAGGGCCGCGGTCAGGTGAACAGGGCCGCGGACAGGTGGAAAGGGCCGCGGACAGGTGGAAAGGGCCGCGGACAGGTGGAAAGGGCCGCGGTCAGGTGAACAGGGCCGCGGACAGGTGGAAAGGGCCGCGGACAGGTGGAAAGGGCCGCGGACAGGTGAACAGGGCCGCGGACAGGTGAACAGGGCCGCGGACAGGTGGAAAGGGCCGCGGACAGGTGGAAAGGGCCGCGGCTAGGTGAACAGAGTCGCGGTCTGGTGAACAGGGCCGGGGACATGTGAACAGGGCCGCGGACAGGTGAACAGGGCCGTGGGCAGCTTAACAGGATCACACTCAGCGCATTCCCTCCGGCCAGTTTTCAGGATGGCGATTACTGGCTAAGAGCTCAGTCTGCTTTGTCCGAAAACAGCCACATCACAGCAGCAGCCACATCACAGCAGCAGCCACATCACAGCAGCAGCCACATCACAGCAGCAGCCACATCACAGCAGCAGCCACATCACAGCAGCAGCCACATCACAGCAGCAGCCACATCACAGCAGCAGCCACATCACAGCAGCAGCCACATCACAGCAGCAGCCACATCACAGCAGCAGCCACATCACAGCAGCAGCCACATCACAGCAGCAGTCACATCACAACTTCTGGTAGCACTTCCAGTGAAGCGTGACCGCTTCTGGACTAACGGCAGCTTGAAATACAACACATCAGCCATACAGCTTCGACCGCACAGACGTGAACGGAGGACAAACACCGACGGCGGGGTGCCTCTCACCGGTCGCAGCGCTCTCCGGTGTAGCCGGGGTCGCACTCGCAGCGGAAGCCGCCGCGATAGTTGGTGACGCACGTCTGTGCATTGGACAGCTGGATGCTCGGGCAGAGGCACGGCCGGCACGTGTCCGTGTCGGGGTCACCGTAGAAGCCGGCGGCGCAGACCTCGCAGTGCTCTCCGGCCGTGTTGTCCGTACAGTTCTGAACGACAGCGGTGTCCCAGTGAGCGGTACGGAAGGGGGTGTTTCTGACAGAAGACGGTTCGCACACTGTCTGTAGCCAGTCGCTTATATTTGACGTTCTATTTATTCGCGCCTTTGCTCAGCCAGCAAAGATATTCATGCCCCTATGCACGATTAATCCGGGTAAATGTTATCGAAGCTCCACACAACCATCTAAGCAATATATCAGCCAATGTTCATCGAGCATTATCATTTCAGCTTGGTGCTCGGGACAGCTTATCGGTCTAAGCGACTCAGACTACGCCAGGTTCGCGGCGACCTCCCTGTCCAAGCCCTGCGTGACGCGACAACCGCGAGCTCCGACGGTCGCCGCCTCGCCCACCTGGCAGTGGCCCGTGTCCGAGTCGCACACTTCCGAGCGGTCATTGCACTGGCAGGGCACTGACTCGCCCACCAGGTCGATGATTATCTCGCTGTTGCTGAAGCCTGGCGTGAACGTGCGGTAGAAGCCGATACTCGGGTCCTGGCGAGGGAGTGACACAGCTCTCACCCGCAAACAACATGAATAGTTGCCCTAACAACAATGAAAATCATCAGAGAATTTATACAGCGGAAGGTTTAACTGGTACCCATAAACGCACGAGGTTCCTAGGACATCAGCTGGCAGGGCAGATGTCTCATACACCGCCAGTGCTTACACGACGAAAGACCCGTCTCTGAAGCAGATGATCAGCTCAGAGGATCATGAAATAGACAACAAGCGATAGCCGACAGCAAACACACGCATATAAAAACAACGCGCTGTCCGATAGTAATGAGAAAATGACATTGCAACACAGTCATGTGAAAATCGCCAGAGCTGGAGCAGGCTCGAGCTCGGCCACAGAAGAGTGTGCTGGACGCGGCTGCCGCCTGGCTCTCACCTGACACGAGGAGCCGTTATAGCCCTTGGGACAGGCGCATCTCTCGATGCCCACGGCCGTGCTGCCCGAGTGTCCGTACGTGGGCTCGGCGATGTCCCAGCTCACGTCCGACAGCCTGCTCGCAGCATCATCAGTGGTCAGTGGAGTGAGAGTCAGGGCCGCCTGGGTCAGGAGACCCGCTCCAAGTGGGCTCACACCGACGCCGTGTTTCAGTCCATGAAGATTATCGCTAGGTGAAGATGAGAATTGGAAATAGCGATGTTCCTCGGTAGCAAATAAGGCATTTCGCTATATACCTCCTGAGATTAAAACTAAATTGGGCAAACTTCAGTCGAAACATAATCTGGCAGCAGGACTCGTGCTTAGCCACTCCCAATGCCAAAATATGACCAATCCGATCTTACCTAGCCGCTCCCCTAACCAAAACACGACCAATCCGATCTTACCTAGCCGCTCCCCTAACCAAAACACGACCAATCCGATCTTACCTAGCCGCTCCCCTAACCAAAACATGACCGATCCGATCTTACCTAGCCGCTCCCCAAACCAAAACACGACCAATCCGATCTTACCTAGCCGCTCCCCAAACCAAAACATTATCAATCTGGACTCAAGACCGCCGCATCACAGGCGCTCCACAGCGCAACCCCACCGCCACTCACATCCTGTTCAGAATCTTCGGAATCTAACCGAACCATCACGCTGCCATCCGTTCGGAATCCCACGCGGCTGACTCACTCGGCCCGGGTGGCGTCAATGAGCTCGGTGGCACGGATCAGCACGTGCTGTGTGTTCTGCAGGGCCACCATCAGCATCTCCCGCGTCACCAGCGCCCGTCGGTCGCCCTTCACGCGCCAGAAGCTCTCGTGCAGCCTGCCGGAGCCGGTGGCTGTCAGATGTGCCCCAGTGAATACAGGTTGACCGTCATAAGCTACCGCACAAGGATGGCTCCGCACTCCTCAGCCCTACACGACAACCGACGGTTTTGGAAGCGGCGAGTAAGTTTCACCCGTTCACGTACATGGGGTATAGTTCGGGCATCTCAGAGCTGAGCAGACATCCTCTCCGCCAATGCACCGCGGCAGAAGACCGTGTTACTCACTTGACTTGGTAGAAGCCGTCCGGCTGAGTGGTGGGTGGGAAGTGCTCGAGCACCAGCCGGTAGTTGCCCTGCAGCTGCACCAGCGGGTAGCTGGAGAGGATGCTGGCCGGGAAGGGGCGTGAACCTCCCGTGCTGCGTGACCGGAACCGCAGGTGGCCGTTGTAGGAGCGCACCTGAGTCGGAGCACGGTCAGAAGAAGCCGGACCCATCGGGGGAGCGGACACAACGGAACTAAACTGCTATGTGGGACAGGAAGCGCGCGGTGGGGAACTGTAACAGATGGTACTAGTGCTAACCACAAACATGCCCCAAGATTTCCGCGTTCGTTGGTCTCTTCAAGGCGCCAGGTAAGTTAAAACTGCGCGGCACCATGTCATCAAACTGTAATCGAAAGTCCCACTAATGAGTGACAGATTCCTCACACGGGGCACTCACAGCCTCCAGCACTCCTCAACACAGTTCGCGCCGCCCCTGGGAGCTGGGGGACATGGACTCCTCGGTGGTGCCGCCCAAGTCGCCGTCGGTCGCGTCGGGCCCACCGTACCTTGTCACCGTACCCTGTCGTACCGCGTCGGGCCCACCGTACCTTGTCACCGTACCTTGTCGTACCGCGTCGGGCCCACCGTACCTTGTCACCGTACCTTGTCGTACCGCGTCGGGCCCACCGTACCTTGTCACCGAGGAACTCCGGAGGCAGCTGCCAGTAGACGGGCGCGTCGAACGGGAAGTTGAGGCCGAGCCGCACATCGCCGCTGAAGCCCGGGATGACCCGCAACGTGTTGGTCACGTTCAGACGCGTCTGGCCGGCTGACAGCGTCACCGCCCGGCTGTCGGGCAGCGTCAGCTGGCGACACAGGGCAGCGTCAGGTGGCGGCACAGAATGTAACCGGCTGGCGACACAGCGCACAGGCAGCTGGCGGCACAGGGCACAGTCGGCTGGTGAGACAGGGTACAGTCAGCTGGCGGCATAGGGCAGCGTCAGCTGGCGGCACAGGGCACAGTCAGCTGGTGAGACAGGTCTGCAGCCGGGCGATCACCCAGCTCAGCAGGCAGCTGGCAACAAAGGTGATCAGCCTATCCGCGCCGCGACTTTTGACGGAATGAAAGCTCAGTTGCCAGTTTTATCAATGTTCATCCTGGACCCCAGCCTCTACCCCCCCCCCCCCCCACAACGATTCTTCACGTCCAGAAGAAAATAGGTACGGTGTTGGCCTCTCACAGCAGGCTTCAGGCGATCTGTGGGTCGCTGAGAGGCCTGCGCTCAATCCCCGCCTCGCCGTGACGCGCCTGAGCCGACACTTGACAGCGCTCCGGCCCGCCGCCGGGACGGATGCGGTACACTGCGTCCACGGCCACACAGGCCTCGCATGTGATCACGATTCACGACGCATGCCACATACAGGCGAGCGTTGCGCGTCTGTCTGCGGACACCCGGCCGGGTGCATCGGTGTGCGCATCAGCCAGGCGGCGGTGGGCGCGGCGGTGGGTGCAGCGGTGGGTGCGACGGTGGGTGCGGCGGTGCAGTTACGGCTGAAGCGACAGATACGGCCCAGGTGTGGCTGCAAGAAGTGTGCTTGCTGGAGTCATGACTCGGCCGCAGTCACCCCGAGTCCAGAGCGGGTGCGGAGCGGAGAGTCTGGCACTGACAGCGCGACGCTCTTCCATGGGCCGCCCGCTCGGCCTTTGGGCCCCGTGCTCGCCCTCGGCCGGTGCACACAGTGCGGTGTGCAGGCAGACAAGTGGGCACAAAACGGCCGCCCTACGTGGATGTAGCAGATCTCCTCAGTGTTCCACGGCACTACCGGCAGCGTGCGATAGCCGTCGGCGGCCTCGTCATAGTCCAGCACGACGGCGCGCGAGCCTCGTATCACCTGCTGCTGAAACACGGACCGTGCGAGCAGCGCGGGCGGCGGCGGGGCCGCTACCGAAGTCAAACGCGACGCCGGACCTGGCGCTGGGCCTCTGTACAACATGCAACAGTCTTCGTTCGCTCTATCACTCTAGCATGGCTGACGTGGCCATCTGTGTTAAGGTTTATATGTACAGTAACCAGATGTGGCACCGAGCAGCAGCCGTGTCGGTTCGCCTCGCCACGCGCCAGAATGGCTACCATGCACGGCCAACGGCCATCCCACCACTAGAAGAGCGGGGCAATAATTAGTAGCACAACACCACAGCTAATTAGTCCTGACAGCGCAGGCGCCGTGACCGAAAAAGACGGACCAATAAAAATATTCCGCACTGCAATGCACAACACGCCAGCAAGCACCAGATCACCAGAACAGAAGAGCCAACGATCCATACTCACCGACGGCACCAGATCACCAGCCCCGAAGAGCCAATGACAACTACTCACCGACAGCACCAGATCAGCAGCCCAGAAGAACCAATGACAAAGACCTACTGATATAGTCTTTCCACCAAATAATGATGCTCCAACTATCCAATTTAGCTGACGTCGATGTGCCATGCTGCACATTCCGCACAGTAAGTACGTTTTGAAACTAAAAGCACCCTGGAAAACTTCAAAATGAACGCGTGAGATGCTATCCCATTTGGCTGATGTACCACAAACGTCACGTAGCCCTTAACGCTCCGTTTTCAGCAGCCCAGCAGACTCAGGGGGCATCGAAATAACTCCCCTCCCCCCATGTCACTTCTAACTCCGCTATGAGCTTGCACCGGTAAAACTAGTCCGGGTATCAGGATTTTCCTCCCGGCCAACAACCGATTCCTCCGGCGTCCTTCAGCGAACTGTCACACACGAGACGGCAGCCCCTCACAGGGGCGTGGCTTCGCAGCATAAGCTTGGGAGGGTCGGGGGCTGAGCTGGGAAAATGACTTACAGAACCACCAAACCACACAAAAAGGGGTTTCCCTAATCTGACCCACTTTCCTCAACGTGTGAGGAGGGAGCCTCGCAACTGCAAGGGAAGCTACACCACTTCGTAGTTCTCCTGGTCACGTACCGAGCACCAGGAGAACTCAGTCTCCCGAAACACTCTCCTCCCCTTCACGTACCGGCAGCTAAGGGGTTTAGCATTTCTGCCTCGCCTTCCTCCCTCCTCCACGTACCGGCACCCAGGAGAACTCGGCCTGTGAGCACTGGCCGCTGCGGGTGAAGCAGAAGCAGGCCGTGCAGCCGTCCGGGTTGTCGGCGCTCATCCCGAACGTGCCGTCCACGCAGCGGTCGCAGCTATCGCCGCGCACGTTCGTCTGGAGACGGCCGATAGGACGGTGTGGTCGTTGGTCAGCCTCGATAGTCTCACGGGCTGGGCTTGGTGAAATCGTCCACTAGATGACATTTTACAGCCTCATACACTGGGATGTAGCAACCTCATGCAAGGGCAATGGTGTGAAGCGGTGTGGTGATGCGCTATAAGCACAAACAGGATAAACACCCGCACCATTTTACTTTAAGCCAGGCCTTCGGGGGACAGGTGATGATCGAGGGGCAGGTGGGCGGGTGTATCATGAGTTCCAGAGAAGGGGAGAGAGAGGGCTGTGGGAGTGGACAGATAGAGAACAGACATGAGAGTATATATACACACACACATACATATATATATATATATATATATATATATATATATATATATATATATAGTATACTAAGTGACAAACATGTGCTTAATTCCAAAATCTATCGCCTTACCACGCCTACAGTAAAACATGGACACATAGCAAACATCCGTGCGTGAAACGCTGGAGCATCACCTTGCACTGGCACTGGCCACTCTCGTCGCAGGGGCAGTTGCCCCACTCGTCACAGTTTGCCGAGCCCTCCGGGTCACACCGGCAGGCCTGGCACACCGGGAAGTTGTAGAAGCCGGGCTGACACTGGTCACACCTGCCGGCCAATGGGCGGGGCTAAGGTCAGGTCCTGGCCCACGGTGCAAACAGTGGCCGAGACCTCGTCACAGCGCCGATCAGGGGCGGTCGGGGTACAACCACGTCTGGGTGCTGGTGGCTGTGCAGGGTACCAATGCCCTTCAGAACGGTTGGCACGGCTTTGTCTGATAAAAATAAGCCTCCCGGACGGGCTTAACGGCGCTGCTTACTTCGTATGTGTCACGGCGCAAGACCAGGCACGCCTAGCGGAGACCATTATTAGACCATATTGGGCCACGCACGGGAGTGACGTGACACATCGCATAAACACAGGGCGATGAGCACTGCCAGCTTTATAGGTGTGAGAACTCCGCCAGCCACCGGTTTCGGCTGCACTGGCTCGCTCTCGGGTGGCGAGACGAGACGCGGCTCTCACCTGCGGCCTCCGAAGCCGTCGAAGCAGCTACAACGGCCGGTGATGCGGTCGCAGTCGCCGGAGCGGGAGCCCTGTCTGTCACACTCGCACGGCTGCCCGACCGACCGCAGCAACAACACCGGTCAGCACGGCGGCATCGGGTCGTACAGGCAACGGACAGACCAACGAACGGGGACGGACAGCATTTCTGACCGATGGCAGTGCCATTTCGGGACCCGTTAGAGCAGCTGAGCACTACACCCGGAGTCTTTGACGTGGTTAGAGGCTATAATCCCAGTCAGGGCAGCCTCGGATTAGGTCTTGCCATACACGCTCAACGCTAAACCAAACAGCTCTATCCTCAATATGCGCAGCGAACTGAGCTGGCATAGCACAATGAACATTTCAGAAACATTTCACGGATAAAGGTGTTTGTACTCAGCCAGAGTTGGCACCAGAGATAAAACGTCTATTTTTGCCTGAATTGCTAATGGCTACGCTTGTTATCAAGCCCAGTGAAAGAATGAACATCTAATTTTGTTCCATTTTTACAGAGTGCAGTCTTCCATGAGCTGGTTAGGCAGCATATCGAACATTTATCGACGCATGATAGTGAAACACAAACAGTGAAACTACGATGTGATTGTGAGCTCGTGGGTACATAAGAGACACCGTCTCTACGCCGATCTGACAGCTGAAGACGCACCTGGCAACCGGCGAGGTTGTTCCAGCCCCAGTGGCCGGGCAGGCAGCTCTCGCAGGCGGCGCCGGCCGTGTTCGGGGGACAGACGCACTGGCCCGACATGGGGTCACACAGGTGACCCGGCTGGCTGCACGGGCCACACTCTGTCCGACGGGGAGCACCGGGTCACACTACACTGGCCACATGCTGTCCGACAGGGGGCACCGGGTCACACTACACTGGCCACACTCTGTCCGACGGGGAGCACCGGGTCACACTACACTGGCCACATGCTGTCCGACAGGGGAGCACCGGGTCACACTACACTGGCCACACGCTGTCCGACAGGGAGCACCGGGTCACACTACACTGGCCACATGCTGTCCGACAGGGGGCACCGGGTCACACTACACTGGCCACACTGTCCGACGGGGAGCACCGGGTCACACTACACTGGCCACACTCTGTCCGACGGGGAGCACCGGGTCACACTACACTGGCCACACGCTGTCCAACAGGGGAGCACCGGGCCCACTACACTGGCCACATGCTGTCCGACAGGGGAGCACCGGGTCACACTACACTGGCCACACGCTGTCCGACAGGGAGCACCGGGTCACACCACACTGGCCACACGCTGTCCGACAGGGGAGCACCGGGTGACACTACACTGGCCACACGCTGTCCGACAGCGGGCACCGAGTCACACTACACTGGCCACACGCTGTCCGACAGCGGGCACCGAGTCACAATACACTGGCCACACGCTGTCCGACAGGGGGCACCGGGTCACACTACACTGGCCACACTCTGTCCGACGGGGAGCACCGGGTCACACTACACTGGCCACACGCTGTCCAACAGGGGAGCACCGGGTCACACTACACTGGCCACACGCTGTCCGACAGGGGAGCACCGGGTAACACTACACTGGCCACACGCTGTCCGACAGAGGGCACCGAGTCACGGTCTCCGCGTGGGCGGGCTGCCAGCATCACATCCTTGCTACAAGCTTCATAGCTTAACGAATCGAAAATACGCTTACCAGCTCGCAAACATTATGCTTCTTAACAAAATAACTTATCATGGCCGCAAACAATGAGGCCACAGATGCGTCTAGTGGATCAAGCGACCGCCCCACAATCACACGGTCAGTTTCTGTGGCACTACCGGACCGGACTGACCCTGACAGCCGGACTCTCCCATTCGGAAGTGTCCGGGTAGGCAGGCCGTGCAGCGCTCGCCGCCGACGCCCGGCTTGCAGCGACAGCGGCCGGTGACCGGGTCACAGGCGTCCCGCAGCGAGCCGGCCGGGTCGCAGTCACACGGGCGGCAGCCGGCGCCCGACTCCAGGCCGAAGAACCCATCCTGAGGTCACAGGGCAGAGGTCGCAGTCACACGGACGGCAGCCGGCGCCCGACTCCAGGCCGAAGGACCCATCCTGAGGTTACAGGGCAGAGGTCGCAGTCACACGGGCAGCAGCCGGCGCCCGACTCCAGGCCGAAGGACCCATCCTGAGGTCACAGGGCAGAGGTCGCAGTCACGCCGGCGTGTGCTACAGACGCCCGACTCCAGGTCGAAGACCCTAACGAGGTCACAGGCCGTAGGTCACGGTAACAATTACAAGGGTTGCAACCGGTGCCAGAGGGCACGCCAAAGAAGCCTTCTAATGTCACAGGGTAGGTCAGAGGTCACAGTCACACGCACTGTGCAGAGTTCACCGTCACAGAGCCAGGTCAAGTTGGGTTAGAGGTCATAATCACACGGCCTGCAGCCGGTGCCCGAATTCAAGCCGAAGAAACCCCCTGGGTCATAGGTCGCTGCCCTGCAGATTAGACCAGAGGTCGTTCGCTACGTGAGACATCTCCGGCCGCCGCGCGATTACAGACCCCCCTCCCCCCCAAAAAGAACTAACGTCAAAGATCACATCTTAGTCGCAGTGTTCATGAAGAGGTATGCTGGTAACCAGTCCAAGCCAATGAAACAAATATCGAGTAAATTTTGCTGTCGTTCCTGCAAGTGCAAGTGGTCACAAAACGACCAATAGCACACTAAGGAACGGCACACAACAATCTTTCAGCCGAGTCAAATAGGACGACAAAGAAGGTTTGGCCATGCAATTAAGTAATTGAGCTTCATAAAAAAACAAGCTGATGAAACTCGGTAACAGCTAACAGCCACCAGCCCTCCACAGCCCCTTAGCGTGCCAGCGCTAAGCTGCAATGTTGAGCTTCATTCGACACCAGCCGCGCCAAACTTCAGTATGCAACTAGCTCCAATGTCCTGTATAACACGAGCAGCGCGCCCCATGTGGCGTCGCTCGAGCCTGCGGACTCAGCCATGACGCCGGCTCTCCGGGCTTGGCTTCCGTGTACCAGCTGCAGGCCGGCCTGCGGTCGGAGCGCGACGCGCCGACCGTGTTTCCCCGCCTGGCACGGACCGGCCGTCCGTCCCTCCGGAGGACGAGGGGCGAGACCAGTCTACCTCCGCCTGCGGCGACTGCAGGCCGGGCCGTACCTGACAGCGGTCGCAGGACCGGCCGGTCACGCGGGGTCGGCAGGAGCAGGCGCCCGTGACCAGGTCGCATCTCTTCCCCTCAGCACCGACAGGGTGGCACTGACACACTGGAACAGAGAAGCCACATCACCAGGGAGCCGGTGCCAAACTGCGGTGGTGGTACAGGCCGCCCCACTGGAGCCGGCAATACAGGAGAACGCCAAAGACGCCCCCCCCCCCCCCATACGAATGCCACGTAGCATGAAAAATGGCGACGTTTGAGGGAACCAGGCCGCGTCCTTGATCCATTTGGTATTTTCCCAGGACTTTTATTTTTACGTTGCAATAATTCTGCAACGTTTTGGCGCCAGCGGGACCCAATCAATGAGTACGCAATAACGTCACTGGCATTGTGGCAGCGCTCTAGCCCACAGTGTTTCAGCCGAAGGCGAAGCGCAAAAAATCGCGAAGTTCAGTTGATCATGGTCTGCTGGGATCGTAAAACTATTTTTGGAATAATCACTTTTGCAATTCTACGACAAATAACATTTCAGGTTTGCAGAAGCATTCACTTTAAACGGCTATAGATTCTGGTGCGTTGGAAAATCTAAGTAAGCATGCCATAAGGCCGAAATATAAGAAAGAAAATCCCGTGAGGTGTACCAGTAAACACGCCTTTGAATATGGCAAAGCATTATGGAAGCAAAAACCATCCTATGAGACGTCAACGAGCAAAAGCGACGCAGTTTGTTACCTTATTATCAACAGACACAATAATCAATCGTCACTGACATAAAGTCCCCGAGTTTTGTCACTTGCAGCGGTCCGTGTCCGCGATCATATATGTGGCAGGCATCACCACACAGCAGAACAGACCATGGCTGGGCACCAACACATTTGACGAGTGAAACGCTTTACCCAGATGGCGAGCGCCAAATCTGCTGAAACGGATCACATGTTACCTACCTGGATTTGAGCCCCGAGCCCCTAACTAATGGGACCTGCCGGCCTTCATTAAAATACGTGACTTTATGATACAATTATGCGATTCGACGGATGTGCGAGCTGCAAAGCTATGAGATGTACGAGTTGTACACCATAACGTCAGGATCAAATTAAAATGTCTATGCCATGCAGAAGTATTTACTATGGGTTTCATTTACGTCGCCCATGTTGCAGGAGCATCTGCCTCCTTCGGCAACGACATCTGCCACCTCCGCCGGCACCAGCGGTGGTGCAGCCAGCCCAGCGCAGAGGGCAGGGCAGGGAAGGGGCGCGGCGGCGCAGCCAGTGGGCCAGCGGGCGCTGTATACACAATACGGCAGCTCGGGTCGCGCGCACCAGCTCCGGTGCCCCACGCGCCAGAGTGCGGACCACATTCCATGATTCATGCGCGCCGCTCGGGAGCAATCGGACACCACGCCGGCGGTGGGCGGAGCCATCGGACCGGCCCGGGCCGGCCCGGCGCTCCGCCACTGCCGCTCGTGGACGTCACGTGCTTCATGGAGCGGGTTATGGGCAGCTGGTGGCATGGAACCGGCGGGAGTGTGAGCCACAGCCGATGGACTCACTCTGGATTTTGATTTATTGATGACTTAAATGTAACCCACAATGTAAAACGAAAAACGCAGGCAAGATATGAATAACAAACAAACGTGGTACAAACGTATTCTCAATAAGTCGGTGCTACATGTGCGACTAGTGGGCGAGGAGGCTCGCTTCCATTCATTCCGCTCATTCATTCATCCATACGTTCATTCATTTATTCGTTAGTTTGTTTCCACATCTGCAGCTATACGAGCCCGTGAGGGTCTGGGACCAAATCATGCCACAGCTGACCCCTTCGCTGACTTAAACAGAGGCCAAACTTCTATCGACATTTGAAGTGAAAAGATTCAAATTTCATCGTATGCAGAACGAGGAAACATCGTTATCCTGAGAACGGTTTTACTGCTCATGCCAATGCACAGTTGCGGTCAAGTTGACAGCTGCGAAACCGGGTTTTGTGATCACTTCACTGACTGTGTCGTATGCTGTGAATATCACTCTGTGATTTGTTTGAGCGCTTTGAACTCAGGAATTTTCCACGGGGAGAAACTTCTTTTTTATCTACCTACCCATCATCACCAGGAGCAGGCAGTTATTGGGCTTCGATAACTAACTGCTCCCGTTATAACAATAATAACTAATTACGTCAACTGCAATGGTTATTGGCACGTCCCCCAGAGTGCCCAGAAGTACCCACCGCCGCCGCACACAGAACCTTATGTTCTGAGCCATACCAGCATTAGTAAACGAAACGTCTGCAGCACTCCTAGCTAAAAATGTGAAACCTGTTAAAGAAAAAATGAAGCGTAACCGAAGGCCACAACTAAGGCTGTCATGATATCATCTGATATTAAGAGATAATTGGAAGCAGCCAGTCTCAAAGATAACTGGCGGGCCGTAACTTCATTACCCAATTAGAAGAGTGTTGAGCAACGTCAGGTTAATTACTGCGAACTGTCAGGAGCAGACCAGCATCCAGGCCTTGTTGCTTCCACGCCGCCACCTCCACCACCTGCTCTCTAGAAGCAAGCTTGTTGCCAGGGTGTGGCAAAATAGCAGGTGGTGGCAGTAGCAACTTCTAACAGTAGATTTATTTACTTTGAACAGTTAACTCCGACCCGCCTCATCCGGTCAGGGCACTGCATCCAAGGCTCAGTTAGGCACAGGAGCCTGAGCTGAACCATAGCTGATGTTTCTTAGCCCACGACCTGCACCGGCGATGCGTGCGTGCGTGCGTGCGTGCGTGCGTGCGTGCCTGTGTATACACGCGTACGTTTACGTGTACGTGCACGTGTGCGTGTGCGTGTGTGCTGAGGGGCCGACACGCCGTGCGGCGGACACGCAGCGGGAGACAGCGAGCCTCCCTCACAGAGCGACGCAGGTGTGAAGGCACCGTTTACCGCGGCTAGGTCTGCAGACCAGTGTGCCGCGCTCTCTCTGCCTGCAAAGGTTTCCCGCCGACAACGGTGATGCCGTACACTCAACAGCAGCCGGCAGCCGCGCCGCGCCGCCCGGTGTAACCCTATCCCAGATCCGTCCATCGGCTGCAGTAAGGGGCAAGCGCGAGCCGCCCACTCTCCAAACAGCCCAGGATAACGCGACGAGCCGGGTCGTGTGACGGCGGCAGAGTTCAAAGCCGGCCACCGCTTGGGACGGCGTCTCGGTGTGCGCGCCGCTCACTCCGCAACGTTCGCTCTGCGGTCTGGGAGGCGGCACCTGCAGGCACGCGCTGCGCCGCCAGTACCGCCCGGGGATACACCCAAGGTCGATGCTGAGTCACCAGGTGTACGTGGGGAGAGGGCTGAGAAAGGTGGGTCAAACGTGTCCAGGAATGAGTTCAAGCTTGAGGAGCCTGCATGAACGTATTTTACGCACCACACGGGACTCCTGCATCCTCGCTTCTGGTGCACGCACTAGAGTATCGCCCACAGACTCCGAAGGACTAAACCACAAGCATGCCAGCTGCTAGCAACAGCCGGATTGAACCGTGAAGGAATACACACTCCACTGCGGACTCACACAAACACCGAGACCAAACAGATCGAGAACATCACATCGGAACTTCCACAATCACAGTTATATGCATCTGTTCTGACCTCGAGCCAGTCCCAAGCCCAAGTGCCACACAGGCGGGCACAGCGCTATCTCCGCGCCTCGTCGGCTCCGCTGGGCCGCCTGTCACAGGCCGGCGGCCGCGTGGGAGGGAGGGAGGGCTAGGGAGCCGGAGCGGCAGACGGTCGCCGTCGAGCCGAGGACGACGGTGCGGCCGAGAGACACGGCCAGGCGTGACCGAGACGCGCTCAGACGGAAACGGAACACCGCACCGGCGCCGGCGGGCAGACGGCCGCTATACTGGTGAGGTGCGAGTTCAGAGGGCCGGGCTGCGTCCATTCTCAAGGGGCTTTCGCTGAGGTCCGAACCTTCTGTGCGTTCTGAACAGCAGAAAGGTGGCTAGCTATGGCTAATAGCGAATTCTGCCCACAGCAGGATGCACATACATGCGTAATCCGATGATCTATAGAGGAAAGACTGTGCTTCAACCATGTCACGCACAAAAGGCAACTGTGCTCTTCATCTCAGAGGAGCGCCCTGCTGAGTCACGCCTGTGCGCTTCCCGTGCTTTCAACAAATCAATGAGGAATACAACTAAGCCAGCTATCTTCGCCATGCCCTCCAGTGCACCAGGAGCCGACTCCCCCCCCCCCCAACCTGACGAGATATGAATCAGCCGAGCGATCGCACCTCCAGCAGCCCGCCGTACTTGCACAAATTCGGCCGAGCCCGCGCCCAGATGTGTCCCAATTGCACCCGGAGTGGGAGGAGGAGGGGGGGGGGGGGGGCTGCGAGTGCGGGGCGTCAGCAGGCGGAAACTGCAGCCCACTCGTCCGCATCCGTCCGTCAACACGGCCGGTGCCAGCCGGGTCGGTCTCCCACCTCGGCGCCGGCCCGGCATCAGCCGACCGCTCCACACGGTCCGACGGTCGGCGGCCCGCTCCACACAGCGCTCCATAAGACAGTGCGGTCGGCGGTGGATGGCGCGTTGGGGCCGCCGGGTCACGGCAGGCCCGCGGCAGCCGACCAACTGGGCGCACGCGCAAACAGCGCACCAACAACTGCACCGACCACCCGTGCCCAGCTGAAAGGCTTGGTTAGATGGGCAGCCGTCAGCTTCGAAAGTCATGCATTCCCGGTCATGTGCATTATTCAGGGGTTGTTGCGGATCTGCTTGTTTGTGCGTGATCCCAACACTCGTTGAGACAAATCCGCAAGCAAGCAGACATGCTCCTCCAGATAACCCACGTAACAGCAACTCAGCAGATACGACAGCTCATATCTTCAATGGCCCAGTTATTTCACCAAGTAATATAAAACTTTGTGCCATGTCACCGCCAGCTCCCTATATCAGTGCCGTGCCGGCCGGCGTCAGTACCGGCTGTGTCGGATGCATCGGAGCCCAGAGGTCGATGCCGGAACTCGCAGTGACCAGACAAATGCTAACTGCACTGATCACATTAAACGCTGGGATCGACGTCAGCATCGCCAGCCGTTGCCCGTTTGACCGGGATGATCCTAGGCAGTT